GTCCCGAAACCTACTAGGTCTTTTAATTTGTTGTGACGGTTAGCATTTCATTAAATATAGTAATTCACCTGTAACAAAACTCAGACTTTTGTTATATTATTTATAAACTTTTTTAATTAATTATAATATACATAAAGTATACTTCTAGACAAGTTTTATAGCTTGACCAGTCTTAGCCAATCAGAAAGCATCAAGTATGAACTAACGAATTGTAACATAAGTCTTAAACCTGATCTTAGAAAGTAATTTAACACTAACTTTCATCAAAATCTCTGTATATTAGTGTTAAAGTATTTGAAAAAAGATTATGCTTTAACTTTCGTCATGACGTTCTAACCTTACTAAGAACTCCAATAGAAGAAAAATATTCATATAGTTTACTTAAAATTTTATTGTCATTTAAGGTCAAAATATAATACATGTCTAGGGGTTTATTATAAAGTATCATATGTATCTTCATATTGAAAGTATTCACTCTTGTAGCGTGAAAGCCTTTTTAACATTTATCAGTGTATAAAACACTGCTATGAACATTCAATTCTCTGTGTTTAAATGAAAAGGGATTTCATCCATTGTGAAAGCGTACAGAATATGAAATTATACATAGAACACACCGTAGAAGAGGTTTAGTTTCTTAGAACTAGATTGTTAGTAGTGATTACCCATCAAAGTTTATTGAAATAAATATTAAACATACCCGGCGTAATTAATAAGCCATAAATGGATAGAAGTAGAGTATATACATTGATCTTGGTTTAAAAAAAATATTGTAAACAAAACCTTTGAGAAAAATATTTATGCAGCTTTACTAAGAGTATCATGCACTAGTCGTTCGTTGGTACTCACCTGCATAAGGGATGAAATAACTCTTTTGACAGATTCAATAAAAATTAATTTATTCATCTGTTAGTGCAAAGTTAGGTACATGTACCGTTCATCGAAGAACATTTTTTGATGCTTGAGAGGACACCTGTTAGTATGGGTTGGAAAGAACAACATAAAAGTTAAAGACAAGTACTCTGCAGCTTTTAGTCAAATATGACCGCATTGTAAAGGCCTAATCATCCAAGATAACATTAAACCTTCAGAATGCCGTACTGTAAAAGCAATGAAAATATGAAATAAAGTTATATTTTGTAAGTTAACATTGAATCATATAGTAAAATTACCTGACTAACTAAACAAAATAACCTGATTATACATGATCACTTGTACACTGAAGTACATATCTGATAAGTTACTAATAGTTCTGTCGATTCTAAACTAAGCTCAATGTATAATTTATTTTACAAAATACTAACATATTTATAATGTCATTAAACAGGAAGAATGTATTTATAAAATCTCTTTAATGTCTCACACTAACTCAGCGCCCAAATATTGTGAAACTATTCGTTCAAATTTAGACGAAAGTTCTTATTCATTATTCATAATATCATTATTAGGAATTGATTATATGGCTTACTTTACATGTTATTTATCCTATAACATACAAGATAAAATATCTGTCAGTTAAATAATAAGCTTAAACCAAAATATTATAAGTAACAAAACTAATCATATGGAATATTGAAAGTTTATTATGTTATTTAACAATTCCTACTATCTACATTATATGATTATGTAATATACTAAATATGTGCTGGTGTATTTTATTTTTTACAGGAATTTTAACTGTTATTTTTAGAATATGACATAACATTTAATCAAGGACGTTGATCTTATAATTGTTTATGATTGAAGGATGAAATCATAATATACAATGGTATACAATAGTTTTGTATTAAAAACAAAAACAAAAAAGAAGAGAAAACAAAGAAAATTAATGACAATTGTCTTTCATTTTACTTCATTTATCTCAAATAAAAATAAAAACAAAATTGAATTGTTAAGATTGGAAATTGATTGAAATTAAGAAATTTTTTTAACGTCCGATGAGTTTTGTGGATATTATAGTAATTTTAATGGTTAAGATCATGAGTCAGTTGAAGCTAGACCACCATGAAAAACCTGGAAGCACTGAACGGCCGCTTCGTTCTATTGTGGGACTCCTCAGCAGTGCGCATCCACGACCTCTCCCCCTGCGAGATTCGAACCCAGGACCTACTGGTTTCGCGCGTGAGTACTTAACCCCTAGACCACTGCTGAGGAGTCCCACATTAGGACGAAACGGCCGTCCAGTGCTTCCAGTTTTTCCATGGTGGTCTAGCTTCAATTGACTCATGATCTTAACCATTGAAGTTTTTTTTTAAATTTTATTTCACTTTTATTTTATTTAAATCAATAATTAAAATAAAATTATTTATTGCATCATTAGATAATCTTTAGAAGGTTGTATTCAGTTACTAATAGGTAAATAAAACACAATTAAATAGACTATTAGTATGTTAACTATTAACGAAAGAAATGTTGGTTTGTCTAAAATCTCAATTTGATAGATGACATAATTTAAATATAAATGTCAGTTTTATTTTCTTGAGGGTAATGATTAAAACATTATTTGTCGGAATATTTATTTTTGTATTTATGAATTGCTTAAAATGTTGTTATAGTATATGCTTAAATGGACGGTGGTATAGTTTTATAACATAATATAAAAGATTTATTTTATTTTGCTATGAAACTTTCTATCAGTGTGTTTCATATGAATATATATAAGAAAGGTGGTAACAATCCTTAAAAACGTTTTTCAATATCATGAAAGTTAGAGGAACAGGATGATATATATAACAATTACATAAATTCAAGCTTTACACTAGATTTTCAGCAGATACTTAAATATCCCAGTCTAATGTGAGACTCTTCAATAGTTATCTAAGTTTGCATCATATAAAAGAATAAAAATGACTCTTGTTTAGCTACTAATAGCATGAGATTCTCCTATTTATTTTATTTGAATAAGTTTATTTACTGATGGGGTAATTACAAAGATTATTTAACCTGTGTTGTAACAATCACATTATCTTACAAATAATATTTAGTGTTTTAATAAACTACTCTCCACCTACCTATACAGTTGGTAAACACTAGTGAAGGGCTGTAACATCTAACATTCATATGTAGCAACTGGTATTTAGTGCTTATTAACTTCACTTATGTATTAGTAAAAAGTAACAATATAATAATTGTGTCGTACTCTACTTCAAGACAGTTTTCTATGATTATGATAATGATATTTCTTCCCATTGAAGACTGTACCAAAATTTATGAATCTAATAGATCTTCGATAATCTACATATTTTATTTATGATTTCATTCACAAATTTTGTGGATGACTGATTTTTAAAAATCTTACAGTAATTCACTCTTCAGTGGTTTAGAAATAAGTGATCTAACACATAGTCAACAAATATTTAAAAACTAAGATATTTTGTAAGCAGCATTATGGTAGTGAACGTTTACTAACATGATTTAATCCATCGATTAGTTGTTAGTGTCTGTCTTTATCCCGGCTCAAACAGTATTCATATAACGAGAAACGTCTCAGTTCTATTATGGAAGTGATGTCAATAATTTTAAGAGAAAGTATTTTTCTAGGCATACGGTGTAAATAAATATTATATTCTTAGTGTAGGATATTCAACAGTATGATTTGACGTTCAGTGTAATAATTACGAATGAAAACTAATTATTGAAACGGATTGGCAAAACAAATCGACATATGAAAGGGTTCATTTCAGTTACATAAATCGTGGAATTCACAGTTTTATCTCAAGTTTTGTTTAATTGTTCAATAATAGCAAATCTCTATACTTCCTCCAATTCGCAGTAATTCAGTGAATATCAGAATCATGCAAAACTGAAAAATGTACAAGCTTAATCTATTTTCAAACTGTACAGAGGTTATTGTTTTTGGAAATATCATAATGTCGTGTGCATTAACTTGAAACATTCAATTGTTTACGTTTGGGTAACAGTTCTTCTGTGACTTCATAAATTTCGTTCCATGTGTTTAGTCGATGCCCTCATTCATTTAACTGTCATGATGTTAAAATTTTACCATTGTTTGTTCTTCAAGACCTTATATAAGGTATTTCTAAGAACATATTAAGTTCTAAGACTGACATTTTTTTGAGGCGAACCATTGATGTCTTACTAAAAACCAATCTTTTTTACCATGCTTTTTTCGTATAATTGCGTAAACAACTACCGCTTATTCAATCGAATCCCCAAAAGGTAAATTGTATGATCAGTACACCTGATTTTTCTAAAATAAATCTTGGTGATTTTGTTTATAGGTGAAGAAATAAGTATGTTTTCAAAGTCTTCTAACTGTTCTTATGCCATACTAGAGTTTTAATATATGTTTACACCATACAAGATCTAACCGTAAAAGATTTTAACCCTGAATTGTGGTATTTCTAGCTCATAAATTAACCATTTTATACTTTAAAGTTTAATAATATGACAGAAATTAGGATTTACTGACATTTTGAAATCTCCAGATATTTCATTCGATCAGGCAAGTTAGTTCATATGAGATACAAGTAAACCAGATGCAACAGGAAATCACTGCTGTTTATTAAGATTGATAACCCATTGCTTCATTTCTTTCAACTATCTAGTTTTTAATAATTTGAGAAGTAGTCAAACACAGAATAGTGTCCCAATATTATTACTCTAAACAAGAAAGATATTCGTCTTGGATTAGACTACATGTGTGATTCAGAGTGTGCCTTGGCGAAGAATAGCACAAAATATCAATCATGTATATAATGATTTTCGATGGTTTGACAAACGATAAAGGTTGCGGTAACAAAGTACCATAAAATACATATGTCCTTTAAAAAAGTTCCCTCTATTCAACAACTCAAAATAGCTAGTTTATCACTCCAGAAGTATGGTTTAAGAGCTCTGAACATATTCATCTTAAATATTATTATACATATAATTTGTTCTTCTATTTTCAGGTTAAATAATTAGCAGTATCACCAAATATCTTTTGATAGAGAATCCATTAGTTCAAAAAATAAATAACTAGAACGATAAGAGAACCAACATCTGGGATCAAGCTTTTTTGTATACATTATAAAATAGGTCTTACAAAACAAAGAATACGTTTTTACTATAAACATGAATGAAGCAACAAAACAAAAAAAAGAAATTATCGTTTCATTTCTCTTTAGTAATTAAAATGTAACAGAAATTCAACTCAATATATTTCGATTAATATAACGAATTAATTAACAGGCTGCATAATGAAGAGTGTTTCACCATCAGTATTGTATCATACTCTCACATTTACAGTATGTTTCACTTGTCAGTAAATACAATTTATGAATAATGATAGTGAATGAAAAAAATGTTCATGAATGAATAGATCAGTTTAGAATCATTTACAGAATAAATAAAGTATTAGTTACTCTCTTTTAATATCATGTATATTATCCCTTTTTTATTATTGTAACTCATAGGTCTTGTTGATTTGTTTGTTTTTATAGATCAATTATTCATATTTTTAAATCAATTTTATGAACAATGAACAAATATAATGACAACAGAGAAGTGTAGATAGTCACTATTTACAAAATCAAACAGTACAAATTGTTGATTGTACGGAGTTAAGTGTTAAATATTCTATTGGCCTTGTGATATAAATTTGTTGATGTTTTAGATTTATTTATATTTCAGACATTTTTATTCTATGTAGTAAGTGATCAATAAAATGTTCAATGCATATACTTTACGGTGTACTCAGGTGTAGTAGTAGCTATAGAGGTGGTGATCGTTAAGCTATTGGAATTATTATTATTATTTACGTTACTACAGTCGATTTCTTTAACACTAGATAATGGAGTATATACATGAACTAAAGATAAATTGACTGGTTGTTTATCATAAATATCATTCATTGCACTATTTAACCAAATCGATTGTGTTATAGGAATAAAAGACATAGTTGTTGTTTCAAGACTGTCACCATTTCCACTATCTTGACCAAGCGATGTGAGACTATTTCGTTTTGACTAAAATTAGAATAAAAAAGAAACAAAGAAAAATATCTATGTATCAAATTCACTTTAGTGTTATAATATTATAATAATGTTAAAAAGGTTTACATGTAAACAAAATACAAATCCATATTTACTAAATGGCAAAGTGGGAATTTTCACTATATTGAAATCCATATTTATGTTATATCCCGATGAGAACAATGAATGGTAACTTTTGGGACCCAGTAATGGAACAATACTATACCTATAATTTTATCGTGTAATTGATAAATAACTAAACTATTCATATTCGTATTCCTTCAATCATAAGCTTTATTCTGATTTATGAACTGTTATTATACGATTTACCATTCTTGAATTATGCCCAATTACTACCAATTACTATCTCCCACATTCACAGCCACATTTGGCCAAATCCTGTACAAATGTTGTTTTCCATTTTATGATACGACGTGGTCTTTCTGGTTTGTATATAAACCTAGTATATTTGAAATAAATGATTGATATTGCAGAGGTTGTGATTAGTGTTCTGGAGTTAACAGGCTGGCTGAGCTAGTTTGTAAGCAGGACGGATAAGGACTGTAGACTGCTCGTAGTTGTTTTCTGCGTCATTGGTCCGATTGATAATTCATTATTCTCTAATTGGTGGTATCATTATATTATACATTATCAAGGAATACAGGCCACAAGTTATGTCAGTTTCAATCATTTTTTGGAGATAAAATTAAGATATCTGATTCTTATTGATAACATCTTAAAACAATTGTGACATACTTTGGCAATCATATGATAACAGGTCATGTCTGTGTATTACTGAGTAGAAACAGACTAGAAGAAAACAACTATTGAGGATTCAAACTAAATTAATTAGATAAAATAATGATAAGTGAGATAATTACAAAATCAATCCATCATATCTATGTGGGTAATATGTTTTAAGACATGAATCCTCTACAGCAGTCTACAATTTACAATTCAGTTTCTTATGCAGTCATATATGGATAAGAATAATATAGATTAGGCAAATTTACAATACAGATTGGTTATGTCGAGAAATGAATAGACATTTTATAATGACAGCATATTGTTCAATTTATAAAGTGGTTTTGATTATTTAAATTATAATATCATTATTACCTATGATACTATCGTAGGATATTTGCTTGTGTTTATTAAGTTTTTAATTCGTTAAACATGTAATATCAATTAAATAATTTTCATTAACAATTACTTGTTGTAACATAAGTTGTAACCATAGTCATTTGTTATCATATTGATTGTAAAAGTGAGTACGATGCAAAGAGACAATTGATTATGCCTTGTACTTTCAATAGAATAAAATCAATAGTTAAATACATAAATATTTTAGTTACTGAAGAACAGTTAGAATCATTGAATGAGTCAACGATAATAAAATGAAAAGACTAGATGGAATGAAATTGAGAAAGTTGAAACATAAATCATTTTGAAATGGATGACCAACATAATAATAATAATAATAATAATAATAATAATAATAATAAATAATAGTAATACATACATAATAAACAGAAAAAAAATGAGCAAACTAAAAGAACAATACGATGCACTATTCTGTGTGATAATGCATAGTTCGCGATTAGGCTTTAATTTGTAATCAATATTTCAATTCCTTTTTTCCATATAACTCAGTAACATGAAAAAAACTCGTGTTTGACTGAACGGTATGTTGGAAGGATATTGAAATTTATTTGATTATAATCACTGATACCAGAACATTCTATTGTATTTTAATTATTTAGTAACATACTAGATATAAATAGGTAAGAAATCACATACATGTTAGCTGTTAATTGCTTGACAAAGAGAATGATGTTATCAATTTATTATTTCCTTATGGAAGTATTCACACACAAAAAGGAGATATTCTCATTATTTTAATACAAATAATTACACATTGTTTATATAAAGTAAGAAATTGGAATTGAATAAATGTCAATTTCTATGGAATCTACTGATTAGAATGTGTTTAAATATTGTTTAGATCTCAATTAATTACTATGCACAATTTTAAGCTGTCGGGAATTATAAAATTATGTAATATAAGATGTTAAATCCATCTGTTTGGGTTAATTTACAAAATTTTCTATGTCGTCGTATCGTTGTAATTATTGTACATCTTATTTTTCAATATATTGATTGAAATTAAGCATATATACCATTGGATCTTGGCTCAACCATCTAAAGGATAAGGATTTGCGCTCAAGACGGAAGGCTCAGGGTTCGACCACCAGCTACGATTTCTTGGGTACCTACAGCTAAGGAGTCCAATGCTAGGACAAAACGGCTATTTAGCTTTTCTAGGTTTTTAATAGTATTTTTTAGCTTAGATCAGTTAGTTATCTTAATGAAAATATTTAAAGCTTCCTAATTATGGCTATTACTTCTGTTATTCTCTATTGTAACTTGATACTGTTTAGGAATATGTTTTTATGTACTATCTTTTAGCTTTAAGCTATTCTTAAATTATAACCAATGATGGATGGTGGCTAGCAGTGGAATTCAAGGCGCGAGTTCCGTCCTATTTAGGAATCGTCAGCTGGATGTACCTGTATCCTAGTGTTGATGTTTACTCCACCACTCGAATCCAGCACTGTTCGCTTCAAACATCATCGAGTTATCCACTTAGCTACTGAGTTCTGACAGATACTAGCTTACGTAATCGGATGAAGTGTGAATTTATTTATTTGCTGAAAAATGATTATTATCTTTGTTTTTACTACTCATTTCTCAACATGAAAATATAACTTGATTAATTTTCATGTGTTACATATTTACCTTCACGTGTACCTACTTTTGTGTTTAAAACTGTATTTCGTTAAAATTTTACCTACCAATAAACAGGAAGTGATAATGCGTTTCCAACATAATTCCTGACAAGTGAAAAACAACCTGGTTGTCATTAATGGTGAGGAAACATGGAAAAATACTACTCATCACACTGTGCTAAAATATTTGTGATAAATAAAATTAGCTGAAATTATTTCACAATAGTATATAGATACGTAATATGCTATAACAATTTGATTGACATATAGGATGAGAGTAGTATTAAAAAACCGCTCACATTCATGTATCACGTTTATGATTAAATTACGCATTAAATAATAGTTGTCATTTAACAATAGTTCAAATATCCTGTTATCTATCACTTTAAAAAAAGATGTATTGTATTATATAGAATACAATGGAATATATCCGATTAATCATTGATTACTTAGTCAATTATAAGAGATGAATCACATGAGTACCTGAAATTTGTCATTCATTGGAAACTTCATAATTATTCACAGTTTTAATTTAATACTTGATCATACTCTTCAAGAATATCGTATAGTTGGTAAGTTTCGATAACGTTGACATTACAAAACGAAATATAATTTTAAAACAAAAGCACAATGAATAGACCCATGTCATAAAGGGAGAACAACGTTTACTGATAAATAAGCATACGACCTTCAATAATTAAGTCTATTCAGTGTTCAACATAAATTAATCTACATGAAACTTTGTTCTTATTCATGATCACAAAAATCTGGAGTAAAAACATGATTTATTACATTTGATAAATAGTTCGCTGTAGAGTAATAATCACAATGAAATTGTTGTAACTGTATTCGGATATGAAAAGTTAAAATACGGACAATCAAAAGCTCATAAAATTATTAAATGAAGGATAAGCAGTGAGTGGTCAATTTAGTACATATATCTCTTCCATGTATTTGATGATGTTGTTGTTCAGATAGTGTAAGCTTTACATTCAAACCATCCTCTCGGAGAAAACAATACTTCCAAAAAAAGTTATCCTAAGTCACTTCATCTCACAAATGATCATCTCGTAAAAGATTTTAAACAACAAGTAAACTTTGTAGATTTTTCTGAGGACTCATAAGTTTACGTTCAACCATGGATTATATCGATTTTAAATTACAATTGATATTTTGAGCTGGAATTGTTTGATATTTTACCGGAATTTTTTCTCTTTTCTCCTTTTCTCTTTACTTCATTTATCCCTTTATTATGCCATCTATCTATGGTATGTTGGCTATAGGCTGCCAAGACTGAATTTCATGCTACATTAGTAATATTTCACTTAATTAGATACAAAGTTATTAATCAATTAGATAATTACACATTGTACATTAAATTTACATTTTTCTTTTAAAAGTTACCTATTTAGTAAATTTGTCAAGCTATTATTTGTTTACGTATTTGTGATGTATACATATCATAAGACTTAATCAAATTTAAATAATTCCCTATAGATAAAACAAAAGCATCATATTAACAGGAGAAAATGATCATCTTTTCATTGAAATCATGAACCGATTGATGTTAGACCACCATTGAAAAGTCAGAAGCACTGGACGGCCGTTTCATCTTATTGTGGGACCCCTCAGCAGTGTGCATCCACGATCACGCTCACGGGCTTCGAACCCAGGGCCTTCAGTCTGGCGCGCAAACGCTTGAAAAGGATAATCATTCAACTAAATAATGAACAAATCAAATCAAAACACAGTAACAAATAACAATAAAATAATTTTCTAAATACCTTTCATTTTAAATAAATTATCTCAAATATTTAATTATTATAAGAATTTAAAATTTGGTAATAATCTATAGAATGATACAGCAAGAACCTGAAAAGTTAAGATGAAAATGTTGTTGTTCAATTGTCAATAAATATTATTCAGTCATAACAAGACTTTTAATTCTTACTAGAAAATTTATTGAGTTAAATTAAGAAATTTAATAATAAATTTTAAGTCAATAATGTTAACCTACTATTCATAAGTTAACAAAGAAGTTACAAATGTTACATTTCATTAGTTATAAAAATGTTAATCGACGAATAATCAATGTTTATCAGAGTTAATTAGTTTAAATAAAGAGATACACAAATTGAAAATAGGATAGAAACATACCAAAGTTAGAGAATATTTTAAAAGGGTTCCAGATTGACTGAAGTTAAA